TTAAAGGAAATTAGAGAGCCACAAAAATAAAGACAAACGAAGCCGTCAAGAGAAGTAATCCTATTTGGCAGACCCTCAGAGACATGCCTTGGCGGCTGTCAAACATCACAGAAAATATCCAACTATTCCGCATATCATATCGGAAACCCATAAACCAATTACATTTCTGCCTGCATTGTTTTCAAACTCTACGAAATGCTATTTATGGCAATGCAAGCGCAACAAATGGAGCTGGGAGGGCCAAGCCCTTATTTAAATCGATGAGAAGGGGACTTTTGAAGGTTTTTTTGTATTTTGTATTTTTGGTTATTTTCCAGTTTTTCCACACGCAGTGGAGTGTGGCGAAGCGCATCACAAATTGACTCACTATCGGGGCATATAGATTACAAAATTTCTAAGCGACCTTAGGTCTGACTAAACCGCAGTAATATTCGCACACAGACTTCCTAGTTTGCATCCCCGAAAGGCAGAGACAGCCTGTCAGCCAGTCTTAGTCAGTTGTGAGTTTAGTCAGTTAGTTAGTTAGTCAGTTGTTGGTTTGAGATCACGAGCCGAGTCCGGAAAGCGATGATGAAGTCTTCTGCGGTTAGTGGGTTGCTGCCAGCTGTAATTTGTATCCATAAGCATATATCTCTCTCTCCGGCAGCATATGATCATCGATTTTTTTTGCATTTTGCATAATATATGATGATGTCTGCTTTTGTCATATGATATAGGCGCCATGGGTTCCGCATCGCTCTTGGCTCCTTTGGGGCAATTGCATAAGCCCAGCTAGTCTCTGGGAAAGAAGGGGAGCCTCAAAAACCCAAAGGTCAAACATGTTTAAAGTGCAGTTTCGCGGGAAAATGTCACTGCACGCGCTGTCACTCTTAACTCAAGTCTTTGGTCTCTCGTTGTTTTTTTCCACTCAATTTCAATTGTTGTCGCGAGTGGTTGGTGGCAGGTTTTGGGGTTCCATTTTTAAACAAAACAAATGTACATTTTTGCGCATTGCAGTCGCACTTTTGACGCCCAGTCGTGGGGGCGGAGGACTGACCTTAACCAGCGAAAATCTACCCCCTTTGGGTAATTTTTACAATTGTTGTATAATAATGTCCAATTTCAGTTCGTTTTGGGCGACGGGCCCCATGATTTAGTGGATCGCAATTGGAGAGGGGCCACCGAGTTAATTGGTAAATATTTATAAGTCACAGTTTTTGGATGTCACGAGGAATCTTTGCAAATACTTCCTTCAATGGGTGCACTTAAAAACATAAACAAAAACAACAAAAGCCTTCGTCTTGCCAAAATAGTGGAAATATACTATGTTTCGATATATTGACGGGAATGTCGATAAATTAATCGATATTTAAATAAATTTAAGACTACTTAAGACTTTCGACTGAGTTTCTTCTACCCAGAAGCTTTTATAAATTTACTTCAACAGAAACTACGGAAAAATACAATTTTCTTAAACAAAAACAATGACCTGTTCTTGTTGGAATTTCCCGTGACTACCACCTACTCATTCATGTTTACCAAAGAATGTATGCTTGCCAACTTTAATAAGGCCCTCCATGACCGTAAATTATAAGAATATTAAGGTAACCCCTCAGTGGCAATAAGAAGCATTCAAAAATTTCACATGAACTCATGAAGACAATGGAATTGCCTTGTGCGCTCTACGATGGAGAAGAATATCTAAAGGAGCGACCTCCATTGAGCGGTGAAACATGCATATTTCTCACACACAAAAGGCACACACACACAATTTACACACTCCAACACACACACACCCATTACAGAAACAGTGCTTAATTGAAAACGGCATCTAACACCAACAACTTGCATCTCAGACGAGGCAAACTAAAAGATACATTAAAAAATTTTCAGGCGTGGAGAAACTTGGCGCTTCCATGTTACGATCTTCTTGGGCCTAAATGCAGTAGGCCCTCTAGTGGTTAAGCCACTGAAAGAAATATTGCTTATATATATGAAATTTTTATTAAAGATGTTGCTTAAAATAGGGTAAGATAAAATTGCTTTTAAGGCCTCAAAATCAAGTCTTAAATGCCTTGTTTTAAAGCGTGTATTAAGCTTAATTTCAAGCAAAGTAGTGTTTTAACTATTCACATTTGATTTATAGGAAATATCTAGTTAATCCTAATTTTTTTCAGTGTCTTGTAGGTGCAGTTGCTGGTTGTTTTAATTACCTTTGCCAGGTAATTCATGCCTGCCCCCAAAACAGGGTTACTAACGATCAGCTTGTGAATTCTCCACCGATGCGCCTGCGCATTTCCTCAGCTGCTTTTGCAGCGCTCGGCTCTTAAAGTTTTTCAGTTTTCCAACCTTTTTCAGTCTTTTTCTATCTGCTGGAACCGAACCCAGCGAGGCGAAAGAAACCCTAAAGTGCATTCTTCGTGGGCTTTTTTGAGGAAAACACTTTCGCATCTGGTGGAGTGGGGGACAGGTGAGATGTGTTGAACATCTGCTGAAATTGCCATAAAAATCGCAGACACTTTCACACATTATGCTAGGGAGCTGCTTGTCTCACCTGTTGTAGCTCATTTTGTTTTATTACCTGTTCAATTTGATGTCAGCCCAAAGCTATTGAGAAAGGTGTGTATGGGAGGGATTGTGTCCTGGGTTGAATGAATTTAAAAGGGAGAAGTTTTAGGGAGAAGAGTTTTTGGTAGAGAGAAAAGATACACCCAATTATTAAGCACATAATCAGGACTATTAAGGTAACTATTAAATGTAGGTAAAGTTCATAATAAAATATTTAATAACTACTAAAAGAGAGCCTTTCTTTTTCATTAATTTACCAAGCCTTTAAATAAAAACCAAACCATTACAAGCTTGATTGAGAGCTAAACTTGAATTGGTTGCAATTAAAGTTTGATGCAACACTCAAAGAGTTTAACGACTCTCTCGATATTTATCCGTTCTCGTTTCAACTCTTCCGCTGGTTGATAGTCTCTAACTTCTATCCCACGGGTGTAAGAACCCATTTCTTTTATCATAAATCATTAAAGCTTAATTAAACTCCAAGCCGGAACCGTAACAAGACAGAAAACATGACCACGGACACTGACTGAGCCGCAATGAACTCATTTGAGTGAACTTTACGGCCCATAATTCTAATCTGTAATCTGTGGGCTTAAGTATCGAGACACGTGAAAGAGTTTTCAAACGCTTTACGAGCCATAAAGGCCAGGTATTACTTTTTAAAATAGCTCTAAAGACAAAACCTCAATATAGTAACAAAACAAATAATATAACAACCTGTCACTAGATATGTTCGAAATTGTTTTGGATGAAGTATTCAAAGTAAATAAATCAGATTATAGTATTATTTCTATATAATATTCATTTCCTTGTTAAATTTTCTCATAAAAACTTACCTTTCTATGCGAAACCACTAGCGGCGTATGATGATTATGGTGATGATGATGATGATGATTGTTATTGTCGAAGGCTGTTGAATAAATAAAAGCAAACGATAACAATTAATGATTGTATATTAATAAAAGTCTGTAAATATAATAAATAAATTCGGTTACAGTTAGTGGGAAATCATTGGAACAACCATAAACGAGTCAATTGCAATTAAGCAGAAAGACAAACAACAACACAACACCAGAAATTGTTCACCTTTCCAATTGCATTTTAAAATATGCAAACATTTCTCGAGTCTCTCTATATATCTATTTTTTCTTGGCTCTGCAACTTCCGCACTTGATGGCCAAACCCAAAGTCTGGCTGGATAGAAAAAAAGAGCAGAAATTGTAACAGAAATAACAAACAGCAAAACTTGGAAACGGGTTCAGCAATCATAAACTTGTTGTGCAGACGGACCGATGAAGTAAGGGGTGAGCGGTCCGCACATGACCAACAACTGTTCAGCGGAAAATTGTCAATGAATAACTCGAGCAATTGTATTATAACTTATATCTCTATAAACCGACACAGACACAACCTGGTGCGGAGTATCCATAACGCGCTTGGCATTTTGTTAAACAATTAAATGCAATTTTCAACTAAATAAAAAAAAATAATGAAAAAATAGTTGACTCAGCCGCTGGCATCGTCAAGGTGCCCGGTTTTTGGTTTCGGTTGGATTTTTCAGTTTGATTTGCTGACCGGCCGGCTTTTGATTACAAACTGCGACCAATGGTGCAGGGAGAGGGAAGGGGGTCTGGGCCTGGTCTGCTAATATCATGGCCCAGCAATTCCACTTTGCAATTTATTAAGCGTGACTGACTGACTGACCGACTGGTTGCTACACCCAAAAATTTGCACCAACTTTAAATACAAACCAATAAATACCTCAGTAAGGTGGAGAGCTTGTGATTGCAATCAACTTGATTTAACTGGAGATAATAAAAACACAATATGCTAATGTTAATTGGGGGTTTAGTTTATTTTTAGCAAAGCAAATACTTGGATCCTCTCAATAAATATAAAATAAATCATCAAAGTAGAAGAAAGCCATGATTAATCACATCCTAACATATATTACCTGTCAGAACCAAAGCTCATTTAAACTAAGTTGTTCCAATCTGCATTATTATAATTTAGAGTTAAAAAATACTAATTTACCTGTCATCCAATAAGAGGATCAAAAATTCAACTCTAAAATTGCATATTTAACCAATAAGAGGATCGAAAATTCAATTCTAAATTTGCTTATTTAACCAATAAGAGAAGATTTAATAAGAAATAAGAATTAATAAGGCCAAAGGTAGATAATGAATAAAGTTTAAGGTATAGAGGTAAAAGGTATATACTTGAAAAACAATTACACATTTATGTACAGAGATTAAGGGGCACATTTAAAATATATACTTTTAAATTTTATAGCTCCAATATGCCCTATTAATTACCCTTTTAGGAGCATAACTTTTAAACAAGATTTTCTCAATTGAATAGCAAAGTTTATTACCTGCAGAATCAGTGTCAAATCTTTTTATTTACTTTTATAGTTACCTCATAAGCTCATCACTTAAAGCACTATAAATTTTCCACTAAGCCAAGATGTGTTGGGTAATATTTATCTATTTATACATCTTGTACAAAACCCAAGTTTATATACATATATTTTGTTGTTCCTTTTTCACTATTTTAATTAACGCTACCCCACCTGTTCTTTTTCTACCTAAGTCTAAAAAATTATACAATTTCAAAGCGAGGTGAATCATACTGCCACATATCCCATGAATTACGGTCCGAGCATTGTGTTGGTTCCGCATTAAACTCTTGATTTAACCGCAGGTTAGTGGAGTTTGCGGGTCAGGCAACCAGAACACAGCTTTTTTTCGGAAATAAACCGAAAATATAGTACAAAAAAGGGGCAAAAAGCCAGAGCTCATATGAAAATATGAGATGAGCTCGAATGCTCAGCATGATATCATTATAATGTGGCTGGGCTGTCCATCACTTTCGCAGGAAATGAGGCAAGCAGAGGCACAAAGGCAAGGAGATTCCGAAGAGGAGTTTTAGGCAGAGACATGCCCCGACTCAATAATTAAATAATAAATTTCATGTTCTGAGGCAGGCAGACGGTTCCAGTTAATAATTAATTGACATTTAGCAAAGAATTTCAAATGGATGGCAAAAAGGCAGCTTCTTTTGCTGTCGAAAATTTGCACAAATTTGGGTTTTATTAATGCTTGATTTATGTGGACAGGCCGTAACGTTTTTTTTCTTTGGGGTCTGGGACCAACATGTGCAAACTGATTGATCGCCATTGAATAAGTTGGCGAACGTTACAATTTGAAATTCACAGAGGATCCAGCTCACGATTCGATTGATTTAAGCCGGCAGCTGTGAATAATTTGAATTTGGAACTGCTGAAATTAACAATTTCGCCAAACGATCACAGGTCAACACTAATCTCGAGTGATTACCAATGCAAAGTTGCTGTATTAAGATGGATTATACTAGGGGAAAGGTCAAGGAAAATTAAATCAAACATATTATGCAATATATAAATAATCAAATAACACACTGAATAAAATTATTGAACAGAAACTATTAGTAATTCCTTCAATTTTCCCATAAGTTCATCAACATTTAATGAATGCTCTCTCTTTGTTAAAACAGGAAATTAAGCAAAGTTCCCAATAATTGTGTTGCCACATCAAGATTATTGTAAAAATTTGTGTCCAATTTCGTTTATTTTGTCCACACCTCACATGTTTCTTGAACAATCAATAAAACCAAAGAGAATAAAATCACTTTGCGTTATCTGTGAATGAATCATCATGCGTCAAGTTTTGAGTCGCTTAATTGGTGATCCAACTTTCACACCAAATAGAATGGGATTCTACTTTCCTATAAAAATATATATATATCTACATATATATATATATTCAAGTGCTGTGCACTTTGCTCGCAGTGAAAACAGAAATTAACGAACCCATTTCGATAAGATTAGATTGGCAACCGGCAAGCAGGCTCTAAAGCATGGACAGTTTCAATTCAGAGAAGTTGAATTTCAGCTAAGGAAAATTGCATTTCCGATTGGGAAATTGTGAAAAAATAAAAAAGAAAAAGGAGGTTCAGGGTCAGACAATGGACTTTCCTACCATCGAATCCAATTAATAATAATAAAGCCAAAGCCAAAGCACTTTGCCTGGCTGACTTTCAATTGTTTGGCTTCCACAACCTCAGAAATCTCATCATCGCAGTCCTCCTCCGCTTGCATTTCATCAGGTTCAATGGAAACCAACCAGTATATAATAATAAAGTTTAATAAATGTTGCTGTGGTGCTAGGTGTTTTTTTATTATTATTTATGTTTCTTTTTGTTGTATTTTGTTGTGTTATTTGTGGTGGTGCTGGAGTGCATGGCTTTGATGGTTGACCAAGTGGCCTCATGGCAATTTACTTTCTAATGTCATGAAAGTCATGTGCAAGTCAACGGCAGCTCCAGACCGAGCTGCTCTCTACGATGTTTGCACATTTTTCTTGTATTTTTTTTGTAGTATAGTATACTATAAATGTTTTATAGAAATTGATAAATAATCTAGGGAGAAAAAACACACGATATCTATGCAGATTTCTTTAGCTTTTATCAGGGTTTACCCTTTTCGCAAAATTAATGAAGCAAAAGCTGAAATCTTAAGCGATTCCGTTGAGGCGTCAAAATGTAAAAATCGTCGGCTCTTTTTTGTCGGTTGTGCGCTTTGCCTTTTCATTTTTTGGTTTCTAACTAATAAATTACAGCATTTTTTTGGGAGAGTGGAATTTGCTGCTAATTAGCTTTACAACATCTTTAAGATATAGCTAAAATATATATCAATCAAATGCGGGCAATAAGCTGTTGATGAGTTTTCCTCCTTTTGGGTTTTGTTTTTGGTAACAATTAAGTGCATGCCGCGTCTCCTCATTCAAATTGTTAATTAATTAATTAATAATTAATAAGCGCGGATGAAAAATGAATCAGGAAATGATAGATAGTTGGTAATTAACTTAATTAGGGGCGTTAGTTTTTGGAGTGGTTACCTAATAATCAAGCGGAACAACGATTTTGTAAGTTTTACAGAATCGAACTGTAGGCATTAATATAAATAAAAGTTTAAGGCAACCTTGAATACATTAAGTGCTTCTTTTTAAATTTAATGAAAGGAAATTTATGCTAATCTGCATTTCTTCTATAGGTTTTAATACATTCCCACAACTTATGACAATTACGTTATTTTAAAAATTACTTCATCCATCATTAAGTCAAAAACTATATACATTTCCTCTGAAGTTCCCAGGCTATTTTTTTTTAAGCTCATTGATTGCGGCTATTTTACATCATAAAACAATCCACAATACAAGCTTCATAAATCCAAGAAAAGACTCAAATTGTGACCGCAGTTCAGTAACAATTCCTGCGGCACAAACGAAAAAAGGCCAAGAAATATCCCAATCAACTGAATGGCATTCCGAAATCAGCCAGAAAACCACAATATTACACACATACTATATCCATGATCTCCATTCTTCAATTATCGGATGTGTTGCATAAGGTCTCTCTGGAATATAAATCCAAACAAAGGGTGGACACAAAAGGCTCCTAAATACCATAAAAAATCCATGGCCTGGACCGCTTTAAATGTCACTCTTGCTTTCATCTTTTGTGACCAGAGTGAAAGAGCGAAATTATAAATGTTTATGGCCAACGAATCCGAATTAAAGTCGACAAATAGACGAACAAATTTATAAAATATTCAGACTATGCAAATTTGCCACTAAATTAAAATAGTTTCCAACACAAGACAGGCCAAAAATTCACTGAAGATACATACACAGGCTGAATATCTGGGTATCTTTATACACAGTAAATAAATGTAGATACATTTTGTTACTAGATATAAGTCGTATGTTTTGGCTCTTAATTCCTTCATAGAATAGTAATTATTTTCTGTTTTAATTTTATAGATTAAAAAAACTATATACAGCCTGAATTCCCATTACAAAATCCCAA